GGAGGAAACCAAAATTAACATAACAAACAAAAGTTGATGTCTTTTTTTTTTGTTGGTTCTTTATAACAATCCCAAAAAACTTAACTACATAATCAATCAGTAACAAACACTTTTAAATTGGGGACCCAATGTGCTGTTTCAAATTGCAACAAGATTTGAGTTTTCTTATACACATTGTTGGATTCTGCAAATAAATCAGAAGGATTAAAACTTGAAATGGAAGTAGCATTAATGCTAACAATAAAGTTCTTTTTATTGTGGTTTGCTTTCTTGTCCCGGGTCATCTCCGAGTTCTTCAACTTTCCAGCTTTCTTGCGATGCGACGTGCTTATGCGAAGGAGTATATTCCTGCCAAAAATATGAAAAAAATTGATACACAAAGCTGGACCACTCTGCAATTTTAACATACTCTAAACAAAACCAAACCCACTTAACTAAGTTCCACAAAAGTATACCAAAAATGTATCTTGCCTATATCCAAACCGCATTTGTATTGCTTGGGATTTTCAAGGAAATTGTGTTCACTAAGAGATAACCATTGATTTCTTATCTACAAGATAGAAGTGAACACACAATCTCATAACAACAAGAAGAAGAAAAATGAAGGTTAAGTTAGTGTACCTCCATCTTCTCCATAAGCTCTTTGGCTGTTGGGGCAGAAACCACAATATTACGTGCGCCGGGTTTGATAAAACCTTCTTCGACGCCCGTGTCAAATAAAGCAAGCAAATTGTTATAGTAACCATCAACATTCAATAGACCAACCTGCAGAAACAATCCCAAACCAATGAACATAGGAATTAGTAGTCTCTACTTCTTATCCACTGAGCAAAGGAAATGTTACAATACCGTCTTCTTATGGATACCAAGTTGTGACCATGTTATCATCTCCAGAAGTTCCTCCATTGTTCCATAACCCCCTGAAACAAAAAAAAATCGGTGCTTTTCGAGAGTGGACAACGCAAAACTTTCAACTTTACAGCCTATGATTCAGTATTACAGTTTTTCTCACCAGGTAGAGCAATGAATGCTTCAGCTTCTTGTGCCATTGCAGCTTTTCGTTCGTGCATGTCTGCAACAACTCTTACTTCTCCAACAGTCTCACCAGATATCTGATGAATCCCCAAGTCATAAGATTAGGGAAAAAGGTAAACCATATAATCCCCAAATTTAACACAAAAACAAAATCAAGAACATTGTTTCCTCTCCTGATATTAAATCATATAATCTAGTGCAGACAAATGAATAGCTTTGAAACACATTCATCACACTAAGATAAACTTAAAAACTTCAAAAAGTTGAGCTTCAAAACTCAGGCCAAGAAGATACATACCTCAATTGGCATCAACGCTTTGGGAATGATCCTGCAGTTACAGAGAATCCAATCAAAAACCCTTTTAAAGAAGTTTGGAAATGAAGGATATTGAAAGAGTTATAAACTAACCCGACTACATGCAAACCACCTTCATAGACTCTCCTGGATATAAGGCCCATCAACCCAACACTTCCTCCTCCATAAACCAAGTCTATCTTCCTCTTCACCTAACAATTTGAATCACATAAACAACAAATTCCACTCACATCAAAAATGTCTAGCGTACATTCAATGAGAGCATTTACAAACAGACAAAGTTAAACGCATTAGGAAAACAGAGGAAAACCCACTTCAACACTTATCTTGATAGATTCAAAGAGTAAACAACTAAGGAACAAAAAATAACTATCAATAGACTCAACACAAAGCAGTACCACAAACCCATTGAGTGTAAACTAAAAAGTTTGTCTTTTGATACTCAAAACCGAGAAAAAGCTCTGATTTTTTTCAGTTTGGTTAACAGTCTTCGATTTTTAAGAAAGTTGACATTTTTATCACAAAAACCAATCAT